TACATAAACAACCATTACTATTTTGTGCAGGTGCTGAAGCCTTATTTGCTGATTTAGGTCATTTTAGCAGACGTTCCATCCAGGTTTGATAATCTTGCCAACGATCAGTTTTCTTTTTACTGAAGGAATGTATATAAGATTGTTGAGTTCTTATAATCTTACATACGCGTTCTTCTATTCTTTCTTTCTAACAAATCTATATTGATGTTGGCTTTCCCTTTTACAAATCCTTTCCTCCTTAGATCAATGACTTATTCTTGCTTTCCAGCTTGCATTTCTGTTCACAATATACCCCTCTCTTGTTTTCACATACGCGGGGCAGACAGCTTATCTCATTAGACACCCACAAGACCATGAAGATGGATTCTACAAATTCATACCAACTCAAGTCTATTGGCCTATGTTTGTTGTTTCTACGCTTGCAGCTGTGGTTGCTAGTCAATCATTGATATCAGCCACCTTTTCAGTTATCAAATAATCTGTGGTGCTGGATTATTTTCCAAGGGTTAAAGTGGTGCACACCTCCTGTAAGAAAGAAGGCGAGGTTTACTCCCCTGAAATCAACTACATACTCATGGTACTCTGTGTTGCTGTCATACTTATCTTTGGTGATGGACAAGATATGGGAAATGCCTTTGGTAAGATAAATAACACTCATTGACATGCTTATATATTTAGAGGTGCTTTTGTTTTTTTGTTTTTTTTTTTTTTTTTGTGTTTTGATAATTTGACTTTAAAACTATGCAAGTCAACTCAGATACTTGCATAACTAATAATTTCTTGTGTGCACATTATTATGATTAAAATTTCACTATCTTGTCTGAACATTTATCCCTTGATTAGCTTGTTGAAGCATGTATTGAACTTTGAAATCGATACAGTGTTGCAAATGTATTATATGCAATGTTTTGGTCTCAGTCTACTTAGGAGTTTCATTTTATGTAGATTTGCTCCTAGGTTAGAAAGTTGGGACTGACTCGATTCTGTCTGGGAATTTTATTTGTGCTGTTGTGTATCATTTGTCTAAAAGAAATGGAGCTTAGTTCAAAGTAATATGAATGAACTTTAAAAACATAAGTACGTATGTATATCCTATTAAAAAAAATTTGAAAAAAAAAAAACGAGCCTAAGCTTTTACCCAAGAGATGGGAAAACAAGCATCTAGAAAATCTGATCAAATATAAATGTACCTCTGGTTATTTTCATTAGCTAAGGAGCATGCCATGTCCTTTCTCTGTGTTTAGGTGGTTGATCTGTTTGTTAATTCTGTGGGTTGGGATTCTTGGGACAATGTGACAACTAATTTTAAACAGTCGGAGTAATTTCGTTGCTATTCTGACAATTAGTCTGTTACCATGGCGGTTTAATTTATTTGTTGCTGCATGTACTGATCCTTGTTAACAGGTGTGGTTGTCAGTATGGTCATGCTTATAACTACCATACTTCTGACTCTAGTCATGATTGTAATCTGGAGAACCTCACCAATATTAGTATTCCTTTTCTGCTTGACATTATTCCCATGGAAAGCGTATATGTCAGTGCTGTACTGATCAAAATTCCTGAAGGCGGATGGATCCCTTTTGCCATTTCCATCATCCTTGCATTGATCATGTTTGGCTGGTATTTTGGCCGAGAAAGAAAGATAGGCTATGAGTTAACACACAAGATAGACGTCGATAGACTTCAGGAACTGTTGTCTGATCCTGGTGTCCACAGGGTACCCGGAATTTGCTTCTTTTACTCCAACATTCAGGACGGTTTAACTCCTGTCCTTGGACATTACATCAAAAACGTAAAATCTCTTCACAAGGTGACAATTTTCACAACACTGAAATACTTGTTGGTCCCAAAAGTTGCACCACATGAGAGGATTATAATCACTAAATTCGGCCTAAAAGGGATATATGGGTGCGTAATTCAGTATGGTTATGCAGATTCTCTGCATCTTGAAGGTGGAAACCTTGTAAATCAGGTTACAACATGCTTACAGCATTATATAACACATTGCTCAGGGCCTTTGTCAGCTGATCAAGCGAGTATCCAAGACGAGCTTTCTAGCTTGGAGGAAGCCTTGAATGTTGATGTTGTTCATGTTCTAGGGAAAACAAGGTTTCATTTAGGCCAGAATTGCAGCTGGTTTGACAGAATTATGCTTGCATTTTATGAAGTCATGCATAGTAACTGTCGGTCTTCTCTGCCTACGTTAGAATTGCCACTTCCCCAGCGTATGGAAGTTGGTATGCTTTACGAGGCTTTGAATCAGGGGACATAGGGTTTTGATACATTTGAGACACGACAATCTAGAACTGAATCGGGTGTACAGTATTTATTGTAAATCGATTATGAAGTTATGCTAATGATTTTTCATGAAATGCTATCTTTGTAAAAATAAAAGTTATCTATGCTTTTATTGATATACTTAATATTGTCAAGGGAGTAAAAATCAAATATATAAGTGTGTGAAGGTAACTATATATCTTCTTCATAAAAATTATTTTATGATCTATTTAAGTATAGATTCGAAGTTACCCATATAGAAGAGTAAAAGTTACCCATAAGTAAATTAAGTTTAAATATTTCAAATTGAGGTAATTCATTGATGCAGATTATGTTGAATTTAAAGAAAACTCCTTATAGCATATAAATCCTAGTGTTTGGGTCAAGTCCATTGTCCTAAGCCCATTGACTTGGAATTATGAAAATATCCCTCCATGATTCAACCCATCATTAACAGAGTAAAGAACGGATTTACCCCTAATCTGTCCAAACAAGTATAACTTCTGTCACCTGAAAGTACATCTATAAATAGCTCTCCAATCATTAATGATGGTAACTTTTTTCTAATTCTCTAACCTTCTCTCTCTGCTTTCTCTCTCTATAAAGTACATTTCCTGACTTAAGCATCGGAGGGGCTCTCCCGGGTCACACCCCCGGGGCAGCTAACCTTCTCTATTTTGCAGGCCGAGCTCTCGGACATCAAGGCGGAGCCCTCAGACATACCTTTGCTAGGCAGAGCCAAAAGACATTTGGACAATTGGACACAAGCTCTAGGACATCTTGATACCTTACTACCCTAAAACTCCCAGGAGCATTCTGTTTCCAGAAACAGGTGGCGCCGTCTGTGGGGAAAACTAACAAAAAGTCATGGTGAACACTAGGCGTCCCCGCAACACATATCAAGATGCCACTAGAGAAGCTCCGAATCTCTCAGCTCGGCATAAGCATGAAGCCGAGGAAAATATTAGAGGCAAACTCTTATACAAGCTGAGCTCTCATCATGTTACAATTCACTCAAATGAAATGAAGAATTAAAGAATCATGGGCAAGCCGAGCCCCCAGCTAGTCTACATTAGGCTCTCGGCATGCCCACCCAAACATTTACGTCTCAATAAATTACAACAATAAATGAGTGATAATTGTTGCAATTTTGGTACGTCTCAATCTTAATAATTAATTCAATTGACGAAGTCTGTAATTTTTGTTTATCAAGTCTTTTGATATGACATCCACTTGGAAGTTGGAAGTATTTAAAGCCTAGTACTTATGTTGGTTTATGAATTTACCCAAAGCAAGATGCATGCTTGCTTGCAACAATGTAATTGTAGGAAAATCAATGGAAATTAAGCCAATATCTAGAATATGACCTCTAATCAATATGGCTTGTCAAAATGATGTTGCTTCTTGAAATTTGTGTTAGTGGTATTTTTATATAGGGAGTATTTTTTTCGTATGTAAGATAAATAACCCTACCTCATACAAGACAACCTGATCAAATTTGCGGGCTAGATACTTTGAGATTGAGAGTAGAATGAAAGATTTAGGAAATTCTATCTTCAAAGTACCTCTAGTAGGGATTGAACTATGGTACTAAGCATGGTTTGGCAAACTTGGGGATGGTATTCGTTTATGTAATTCCCTCATTTTTGCTTAATCATTTGTCATTTCTGTTATTTCTTTCTTAGTAATTAGCGTCCAATACAAGTAAGACTCGGGAAGAAGCAACACGTGCACATGAAGACATGAAGTGCATATTTTTAAGTGAGTTCAAATAATGTTAAATGAATTCATTTTCTTAATCTTTAAACTGTTTTTGACAAAGAAAACTTCATAATTAAAACAAAGACAAATTACAACCTAAGAGCTAAACAAAAAACAGACATGTAAACACCAACATAAACACTAACAAACGAACACCCTGTAGAGAAAGAACGAAGTGTGTGATAAAACCAGAATGTCTTGCGCCATACCATTTACTCAGCCTTGACAACCATACGAACCCTACCAAATAAAACCTTATCGTGGACCAAGATTTGCCTAATGAATTGAAAACCTCGAGATGGACATAGACTGCAGAGCTGAAACCACTTAATTGTCCTAACCAACATGCACAAGTATATCTTGTATCACTCTTTTTTTTTTTTTTTTTTTTCCTTCGGGATTAAAGGAAAAAATACAAGTTTATCTTGATAATAAACAAAATTTGTTGGTTGTCAAAAAAAAAAAAAAAAACAAAAAAACAAAAATTGTTTATCTATTTTCGTATATAAATAAATAAATAAAATAAATCTCAATCAGCATGACATTTTCGTAAATAAGTCAATGTGTTTGGTAGTAAGCTTATTGAAAGAGCTTATTCCACTAAATAAGCTCTTTTTGAAAAAGCCCATTTTAGGAGCTTTTTCAATTAGCTTATTCATTAATTATTGTGAAATGACACTTATAACCTCATTTAATTTAAAACCCTATCTAAACTACCTACCTCATAATTAGCTTATTGGTCATTTCACATACTCAATCACCTTTAAGCTATCAGCTATTTACCAAACACTTTTATATAATAAGTTAATACAATAAGTTAGTCAAATCAGTTAATAAAATCAGCTAGTCAAAATCAGCTAACTCAATCAGCTTTCAGCCTTCTCCCAAACAAGGCCAATATTTGTGGGATCCGCATATTAATAATAGTTATTGACTTATTTGCGAAAATATCGCTGATTTGGATGATTTATTCAGAAAATACCATTAGATAAACAAAATTTGTTTATCATTAAGATTAATGGGGCATCCTCTAGTTAAAGATGGACACAAAAACAACAAAATAATATGGGGAATTTGGCATTTACAAACCAATGATAAAATATTATCGTGCGACCAATACCCAGTCTGACCTTTTATGAGTTTTATCTATCATCATCAACCAGCAATCACCCAAAAAATATTAAAAATAAAATAAAAAACATGAAGACTGAAGTCAATTCATGTGAATGAATGACTAATGTATTGATATCATTTGTCAAATTCTTCTTAAACCCCCTTTTTTTTTTTTTTTTTAACACTTCTAGGCGGCGCTTACTCAATTTAAGGATCCATCTTCTATTTAAATGGCCAAATCCCCATTTTCTGGCCATTTTCACTCTATTCTACTCTGTTTTTCTCTCTCTTTTTTGCTTCTTCTTTTTAACAATGTCGATTTTTGATACCCAAATTCCGCAACCAATACCCCTTTCTTCCTCCATTGTTGTTGATTCTGATTCCAACGGTCACCTTCCTATCTCTACCCTCATTGTTAAGGTATGATTTTCTTCTGTTTTTTTACTTTTATGCTTACAAGTTACAACCACTATAATGTAATTTCTAATTTTGTGTTACATACTATGTCATATTCTCATTGTTCCAATTTACTTGCCCGATAATTTTTGAAGGCAAAAGCTAACGAAAGCCTTCGGGACGTTGGATAAGCTAGTTAAAAATAGAAAAATTAAATTAAACATTAACATTAATTACACCGATTGATTCATAATTTTGTCACGTTTTTCCAAATTTATACAACTTTAGATAATATTTTAAATGTTTATCTAACGCTTCAAAAGCGTTTGTTGACAAGATTCTTATTTGAATTGTAAATATAGAGAGAAAATAATGAGTTGGATGAATTATTTTTTTGTTAAGATTGCATCACCGTTTATTAAATTCTGGTCATCCCTCGAAAAAATAAAGAAACCAGTCAAGATTTTGTCTTGTGGGTCTCAGTTTTTATAATTTTATTTTTTCTGGCTTGTTATTGCACTTATCGTAAGTTAAGCTTATAGTTCTGTTTCGTGGTATCGGTTTAGGTAGCAATTAGCATTTTGACAAAGGTCTTATTCGGCAAAATTAGCTATTGAATGTTAATGCTCCCTTTGTTATTTTTTTAATGCAACTCTTTGATCCTACTTGAAGTTTTATGCGGTTGAGTTGAACTTGTTAAAACATTGTGTAAGTGGGGTTTTCACACTGTTTGGTAAGTAGTTTATAATTTTTTTTTTAGTGTTTAGAGAGCCACAAGGGCGGGAGTGAGAATCGATCCCAATATCTCCTGAAATCGGGAAGGAAAATCTAACCATTTGAGCTATCCCTCAGTCTCTTTGGTGTTCTACTCAGTTCACCATTTGGGCTAATCCGGATTCAGGGATCAGTTTTGGGTGGTTAGGTTTCAGTCCCCTCCCAATTGTTGTTGTGGGAAATCAAACACGGGTTCTCCCTACCAAGTGTAGTCTCAATCACCACTGCACCAACATTCAATTGGTGGTAAATAGTTTATAATTGATTGATATAACTAATTGTATTAACTAGTTCGTCTAACCATCATAAATAGTTGGCTGTATAACAAGTGTTAGGTGAATAGCGTTTAATTGTTGGTTATTTAAATGTATGTAATAACCAAAACCCTCAATGCTCTATAAGCTAATTTTTAAAAGCTTAATGAGCTATTTTAAAAAGAGTTTTTTAACCCAAAATATTCCAATTAACCCTCTATTTTCCTCATCTTGTCCTGCTTATCCAGCCATCAATTAAAAACATGGAGTGGATCTTGTTGCTGTGAAATATATTAATCGAGGGTATAAAATATCTTTAAGCATGAAATAAATAACATAAGTTACAAGTTTACAACCATTACGTCCTTTTGTTTTCTTTACATTTTATATGCAGCCATGATTAGCATAACTTTTCCATAGTTACACTCATGTTAGCTGAAGTAAAATTTGTCTTTTGATGCGTACTTTTTGGAGTACTAGTGACATCCCCATTTTATGTTAATTGAATTATCAGTCAAGTCGATGGCGTACAATATTTCTTGCATACAAGACACTAGGAGTGGTTTTTGGAGGGCTCGTGACATCCCCACTTTATGTGTATCCTTCAATGCCCTTGAAGTCTCCCACTGAAGAAGACTACTTGGGAATTTATTGTATTATGTTTTGGACTCTTAGCCTCATTGGGGTTGTCAAGTACGCGTGCATTGCACTCAAAGCTGATGATCAAGGGGAAGGTAATATCAATCGTTTGTTTATTGGATGCACAATTTTCTCCTACAAGTTTAGGCTGTTGTAGCTCATATACTTTTGATGTGTTTAGCTCTTGGTCTTTTGTAGTTATAGCTTTTGAGTAGTATCTTCAATTCTTCAGTGCCACTTGTGCCCATGTGTGCTGTAACTTTTAGGCCAGCGCAAATGCAGAGAGATTGTTCTTGGCTTCCAGTTTGAGATATGGGGGTATATAGCTTATTTGAACAAGGGAAACCAAAATGTATTGTTGATTTTCTTAGTGCACCTTGCTTTGTCCAGCATCATGTTGATAAGACCTTGATTTTAGCTTAAGATGTGACAAATTGGTAATATTTATATTAGCTTGTTTGGAGCAGAATTCCATACTGTCTTTTCATGTATGTCACGAAGTAGATCTCTGAAATTGAGCTGCTGAGAATTTGTATTCTAACTAGCTTGTACATCAGTGCACTAGTGCTGTACTAATGTGCACTAATGTGCAAATCCAGACTGGTGGATGTTTTGTATAAATGTATGAATAAAGCTTCTCTCTTGGTTAAATGTTTTCAAGGAACTGATTTTTGAATTTTTACTATGTTTGAAAATCAATTTGCTAAATTTCAATTTTACATATTATTTTCCACGATTGTTCTGGTAATATTTGACCTACTGCAGGTGGGACATTTGCTCTGTATTCGTTACTTAGTAGGCACATGAAAATTGGGTTTCTTTCCGTGAGAGATGTGGATTTCTCTGGAGTTACAAATTCTACTCATGAGGGTCAGGAAAAGCAGAGTAGGCTTGGCAAGATTTTTAAGAATAGTGTGGTGGCTAGAAGGGTATTACTCTTTATCTCAATTCTGGGCATGTGCATGTTAATTGGTGATGGCATACTTACTCCTGCAATCTCAGGTTCCATTTCTAGCAATATTATTTATATTCTTGTATTGCTATCTTATTTTATTTAATATTTACCTCTTCATATTTTTTTTTATTTTTATTGTTTCAAATTGATTTTATGTTTCCTTTTAGTGTTGTCTGCAATTGATGGCATCAGAGCTCCTTTTCCTAAAGTAAGCAAATGTAAGTTTGGGTTTTTGCAAAAGCCTTTATTCTTGTTTTGTTGCTTATTCTTTAGCTGGAACTGTTTTCTGGTGATTTTATTTTTTGGAAAGATCATATTACTACGATTCATTTCCTTTGGGTCTTTGAAACTGTCCTTATTCAGGATGATATTATGTTCTGTGGTATTGAACTTTGCTAGAACACTAATGCAGCTGCAGTTGAAGCTCTTTCAGCTACAATTATCATACTTTTGTTTCTGCTACAAAAGTTTGGTACTTCACGTGTGAGCTTCCTATTCTCCCCTGTAATGGGTCTGTGGACCTTGACTACGCCTCTGGTTGGGATTTGCAGCATCATAAGGCACTACCCTGGCATATTCAAGGCTATATCACCACATTACATAGTCATGTACTTTTTGAAAAATGGGAAAGAAGGTTGGCTGTCTCTTGGAGGCACAATTCTCTGCATTACAGGTGAACCTCAATTCCTATAGTCACCCATATGTTACTATTGATTGATCTTTTTGTCAGAAACGCATTTTCAGAAGATCGACACTTTGTAAATAGCACAGAACAACATGCATGTGTATTTACACAAACATTATTATTTTGTGCAGGTTCTGAAGCCTTATTTGCTGATCTAGGTCATTTTAGCAGAGGTTCCATCCAGGTTTGTTGATCTTGCCAACAATCTATTTCTTTTTGAAGAAAGAAAGTATTTATCCTGTCGAGTTCTTATAATCTTATGTGCCTGTTCCTTTAATTCTTTCTTTTAACGTTCTATATTGATGTTGGCTTTAATTTCCCCTTTATAAAATCTTTCCTCCATAGATCAATGACATGTTTTTTCTTTCCAGCTTGCATTTCTGTGTACGATATACCCGTCTCTTGTTTTCACATATGCAGGGCAGACAGCTTATCTCATCAGACACCCCAATGATCATGAAGATGGATTCTATAAATTCATACCAACTCAAGTCTATTGGCCTATGTTTGTTGTTGCCACACTAGCAGCTGTGGTTGCTAGTCAATCATTAATTTCAGCCACCTTTTCACTTGTCAAGCAATCTGTTGTGCTGGATTATTTTCCTCGGGTCAAAGTGGTGCACACTTCCTGTAGCAAAGAAGGCGAGGTTTACTCCCCAGAAATCAATTACATACTCATGATTCTCTGTGTTGCTGTCATACTTATCTTTGGAGACGGGAAAGACATTGGAAATGCCTTTGGTAAGATAACTGACACATTGATTTGCTTTTTATGTTGTTTTAGAAGCTGAAATTATTGAAGGAAAATATAATACATAGTATAAAATTTAGGAATCCTTTTTAGAGGGATGTTTTCAATTTGACTTTTAAAACATTGCAATTCAACTTAATTCAGCTCTGAAACTTGCATAGTAAAATTTCCTTGTGTGCATATAATTATGACTGTATTTTAATATCTAGTCTGCATATTTAGCCCTTGATTGGCTTGTTGAAGCATGTTTTAGTCTTTGAAATCGATACAGTTTTGCACGTGTATCACCTGCAGTATTGTGGTCACAATCTGCTGCAATTCATGAGAGTAATATATACTGTAATGAGTGTAATCCACTCTGTGTTCACAAAGCTTTGTAGAATACTGGATACAGATGGTTCTGATTCCAGATAAATTTTTTCTTTGTTGGCTGCATGCCTGCATCTTCTTTGGGATTTCATATTATCTTAATTTCTCCTAGGTTAGAAAGTAGGGAGTGACTGAATTCTGTCTGAGAATTTTGTGCATAATTTGTCGAAAAGAAATGGGGCTTTTTAGTTTGAAGTAATATGATTGAACTTTATAAGCACAATATGACTGAATTCTGTCTGAGAATTTTGTACGTAGAACATAGCATGACCTTTCTCTATATTAGGGTGGTTGATCTGTTTGCTAAGTGTTCCCTCCGTAGAAAATTGATCGTCACACATTATATATTGTCCAGAGTCTCCACAAGGTTGTCACCTTTCCAATTGTGAATTGTGATAATGGTATATAATCAAATTCCTAATGCTAGCAGGAAAAATATTCAACACAACATTCATCAAGGGTTTTCCCTTATTTCTTGCCATGTTTGTGGGGTTAAAAGAGTCTTAAAACAATGTAACACCTGTGGGAGTATTTTTCTTGCTGTACTGACAATTAAGAATTAAATACTGCAGTGGTTTGATTCGTCGCTGCTTGTGCTGATAACTAATCATTGTTGACAGGTGTTGTTGTCAGCATGGTCATGCTTATAACTACCATACTTCTGACTCTGGTCATGACTGTAATCTGGAGAACCTCACCAATATTAGTGTTCCTTTTCTGCTTTACCTTTATAACAATGGAAGGCATATATGTCAGTGCTGTATTGACCAAAATTCCGGAAGGTGGATGGATCCCTTTTGCCATTTCTATCATCCTTGCAATCATTATGTTTGGCTGGTACTATGGACGGGAAAGAAAGATAGGCTATGAGTTGACGCACAAGATAGACGTTGATAGACTCCGAGTACTATTGTCTGATCCTGGTGTCCAAAGGGTACCTGGAATTTGCTTCTTTTACTCCAACATTCAAGATGGTTTAACTCCTGTCCTTGGACATTACATCAAAAACATGAAATCTCTTCACAAGGTCACAATCTTCACGACCCTTCGATACCTGTTGGTCCCAAAGGTTGCACCACAGGAGAGGATTATTATCAGCAAATTCGGCCTGCAAGGAATATATGGGTGCGTAATTCAGTATGGTTATGCAGATTATCTGCATCTTGAAGGTGGAAACCTTGTTAATCAAGTTATAACATGCTTACAGCAATATATTACACATTGCTCAGGGCCTTTGTCATCTGATCAAGCGGGTATTCAAGAAGAGCTTTCCAACTTGGCAGAAGCCTTGAGTGTTGGTGTTGTGCATGTTCGAGGGAAAACAAGGTTTCATGTTGGTAAGAATTGTAGCTGGTTTGACAGAATTATGCTTGCATTTTATGAAGTAATGCACAGCAATTGTCGATCCTCTCTGCCTACATTAGGAGTACCACTTCCCCAGCGCATGGAAGTTGGTATGCTTTACGAGGCTTGAAATCAGGGGAAGCCAACAGAATACTGATACTTTAGAGGGCATTTGCATAACTAATGACAGGATATAGTTTAAAGATATAGCGAGTTCTTACAGCTCTCTTTATTGTTTTCTCTATTCTGAATGTGAATACATTGACTACTGAGATATAGAAATCACACCGTCAGCTTAGGTTTTAGATTGAACCGATTATAAACCGAAATGCAACGTATAGAAAAGGAAGCTTGCATAATGGTGCATTGCTTGATGATTCATGTATTGTATTATTAACAGTATGGAAATGAAATAAACGGACATGCCTTAGTTCAGAATTCAGATTACTTTATCTTGATTTTAGCTTGTGTTTCTGTTTAGTGTCTGTGTTTCAAAATATGCTTCAGGTTAATTGTAATTGATCTACCTAATCTAGTTACATAATCCATATTGAATGCCCTAAGGGCTAAGGCCTGGCAAATTTGGTTAATGCAACCCATTTTTGACCCCAAAATAACGTAGAATTAAAACCCAAATTTAAGCTAATCGATCGTCCCTAACCTAATCCGAATTCGTCAGACATACTCGTTTCTAAGCTGCTTCAACAAAATTTTAATTTGCGTCATACTTCGTATAAAATATGACCTTACATATCTTAATGATAGAATTTAAATACAATTTATTAATGGCCCGTTTGATAACCGGTAAGAAATTGTGATAGAGGGAATGAATGAAATGTAATTTATATAGAAAACAAATTATAATCTCCATAAGAACGTAATTTTACCCCCAAGCATGTGATTTCTTCAAGTTTTTTCCATAACCACTTGAAAGGTAAAATTGAGTGAGAATGTAAATTTATATTTTTAAAATAAAAAAATGACAATTTAGGGCTCATTTTAAGCGTGTATAAAAATGAACATTGATTTTCTTTCAAATTTACATCCAATTTTATTCTTGTTACCATTGTTTACGCTTAATCACCAAATGGGCCGGTAAGAGTCTAGTTAGGGCATGTTCTCTTACGTTAAAATTCAGTTCAGTTCAGTTCAGCTCAGCTCAGCTCAGTTCAGTTCAATTCAGTTCAGTTCAGCTCAGCTTCTAATTTCATTCTCTTATAAAATATTTATTTCAGTTCAGTTCAGTTCAGCTCAGTTTAGCTCAATTCAATTCAGTTCAGTTCAGTTCAGCTGAGTTCAGTCAATGAGAACAGGCCCTTAGTGTTGTAGATTTTAGTTTCTTTTAGGATTGTGTATCACTAGGAGTCAGAAGTGGGATTTGAGCTAATTTAAACGAGAGAATTCATATTTATCTCTTAGATAAAATTGAGAAGTTTATCCAGCCCTATTATTGTCATTTCCCACAAAAAAAACATGGGTATTTCTGTAATTTAATCTAACAAGTCAAATTGGACTGTACCTTCACCATAAAAAAAAAAAAAATGGTTCACTACCCCTTCACCATTAATGGCAGAACTTCTATGGAAAAATGGAAGAGCTTCAAGGGGCTTCAATGAAGGCCGACCTAACCCTTCCCCATAAGGGTTAACCTTGCCCTTCTTTTCTCCCTTTACAATTAGGGTTTTCGTTTAATTGACGGCGGCTAGGAGTGGATTGTTAATCAAAACCAGCTCCGACGGGATGACGTTGAACTGAAGGTTGTAGTCGTAGTGCTGTGGTGGTACTCGTGACGGAGAAAATGGTGGTGGCACTCGGGTGTAATAGATAATGGCGGTACTCAGGTTTGACGGAGAAGATGAGGAAGAATAAAAAAAAATACTATTTCGTTTTTTTGTTTACTTTCAATTTATTTACTATTATGGCATGGGATTAACATCCCTTGTTTATCTAGGAGATAAACTGGGACAAGCCCAATTTAAACATTAATTATATCAATTGAAGTGTGTTTTATCCACTTGATTTTCTCTTATCTAAATTTATTTTATCTTATTTGTACTTATATGAACTAATCTGAATTTATCAAAACTTATTTTACTTTATAAAAACTTATTTAGCTGTAATTTGTACGTGACTATCCCTTATTAAAACCTATTTTTCCTGAACTGAACTTATCTGAACTTGTTGCACCTGAAATAAATAGAAATGAGGTGGACAAAAAAAACTCTAATTTAGTAAATATAATTAGATGGTTATATAATTCCTAAAAGTTGCCTAAATTATTAGCCTTACAAAGTTACAATATGTTACGTAGTAGGTTTACTCTTTATCATTTTTTTTAATAATTTTGTTTCCCCTTAATAGGGTTTAAAATAGTAGTTATATACCTTTGTCCTTTTTTGCTCTGCTCATTATTTATGATTAACTATGAAAATTTTGACAGTCTATTACTAGAGTTGTCAATTCGGGTAAACAGGTCGGATTTGGATCGGGTAAGAGTGGGTCGGGTCAACTCAGGTCGGGTCAATTCTGATTAATTTCATAGCATGGGTTTGGTCATGCTTAAGGCGGTTCACGTCGGGTCATACTTCTTATCGGGTTTGGTTCAGGTTTAGGTCAGGTTAATAACAGGTCAGGTTACATTCGGGTCTGGTGAACAATAGGTCGGGTTTAATTCGGGTTTTCAGGACTTAAAACGGGTTAGGTAATTCTCGAGTTCGTGTCGAGTTCCGTTCAAGTCAATAATTAGCGGGTTAGAATCAGGTCGGGTCATTCTCGGGTTTGAGTCGGGTTCTATTCAAGTCAATAATTTGCGGATTATAATCAGGTCGGGTCATTCTCGGGTTTGAGTCGAGTTCGATTCAAGTCAATAATTTGCGGATTATAATCAGGTCGGGTCATTCTCGGTTTCAAGTCGGGTTTTGTTCAAGTTAGTAAATTGCGGGTTATAATTAGGTAGGGTCATTTCCAAGTGGGTCATTCCCGAATTCAAGTCGGGTTATGTTCAAGTCAATAATTTGCAGGTTACAATCAGGTCGGGTCATATTCGGGTTCAACTAACTATAAATAGATAATATCATTTTTATCAAGCTAATTATTTCCTTTATTTTACTATAATATATATGGCAATATACTAGGGAACTATAGTCTATAATTTAGGAAGATAATTATCTCTTTTGACCATACAACAAATATATACTATATTTAACTCTTAAATTTGAGGATGAAGCTCCTTCCTTTTGCTGACCTGGACCGTCTTGGCCTCCCAAGACAAAATGCTTTGATTAACAACAATAAGGTGGTCTAAATTGCATTTAAGGTGATTTGAAATCGGGTAAGGAACAATTTAAATTGAATTTAGGTCGGGTCAATAACTAGTTGTGTTAATTTTGAGACAGGTTAGTAACAAATCGAGTTGAATTTTTGGGTTGGGTAAGTAATAGGTATGGTAAAATTCGAGTCGGGTCAATAACAAGTCAGGTTAAATTTGGGTCAGGTCAATAACAAGTCGGGTTAATTTCGGGTCAGGTTTGTAACAGGTTGGGATAAATTCGGGTCGGGTTAGGAACGGGTCGAGTTGAATTAAGGTCAATTAGTAACAAGTCGGGTAAAATTGGGTTTTGACGGGTTAAAACGGGTTTGGTTCAAGTCGTGTTCGGTGCAAGTTAATTAAATTGGCTGTTGTAAATCGGTAAATAGGTGCAAGTTGTAAACCGGTAAATTGGTCGTTTAAAAGAAAATTGAATGGTTCCACACTCCCAATTGGACTCCCAAAAGATATTATGGACCATGGTAAACATTTCGGAAATTTTTATTTCCAAGTGAAAAAAAAAGTAAAAAAATTCCAAAATTTAAGACTAATATCCACGCTTTTTGAGAAATTTTGGAGGTTTCGGGGCCAGGTGTCGAAAAGTCTTGAAATTTTATGAGATACATCTCGGGGTCATATAATGTCGTTTGGAACCATATATGATCATTATTTGTTGTCATAAATGTTCGTGGCAGGCTTGAATTAATGAAATCGGTGCAAGTTGTAAACCGATAAATTGGTCGTTTAAAGGCAAATTGGATGGTTCCACCCACCCAATTGGACTTCCGGAGGGTATTAGGGACCATGGTAAACATTTTGAAAATTTTATTTCCGGGCGAAAAAAGATCTAAAATTTTCAAAATTGAAAGCTAATATCCACGCTTTTTGAGAAATTTTGGAGGTTTCGGGGCCCGGTGTTGAAAAGTATTTATATTTTAGGAGATACATCTAGGGGTCATATAATGCCGTTTGGAACCATATATGATCATTATATGTTGTCATAAATGTCCGTAGTAGGCTTAAGTTAATGAAATCCGTGCAAGTTGTAAATCGATAATTAAATTGGCCGTTTAAATGCAAATTGGATGGTTCCACTAACCCAATTGGACTCCCGGAGAGTATTAGGGTTTATGGTAAACATTTCGGAAATTTTTATTTTCGGGTGAAATAAAAGTCAAAAAATTCCAAAATTAAAGACTAATTCCACGCTTTTTGAGAAATTTTCGAGGTTTCAGGACCCGGTGTCAAAAAGTCTTGAAATTTTAGGAGATACATCTCGGGGTCATATAATTCTATTTGTAACCATATATGATCATTATTTATTGTCATAAATGTTCGTGGTAGACTTGAGTTAATGAAATCAATACAAGTTGTAAACTGGTAAATTGGTCGTTTAAAGGCAAATTGGATGGTTCCACCAACCCAATGAGACTCCCGGATAGTATTAGGGACCATGGTAAACATTTCAATAATTTTTATTTCCGAGCGAAAAAAGTCAAAATTTTCAAAATTGAAGACTAATAATATCCACGCTTTTTGAGAAATTTTGAAGGTTTTGGGGCCCGGTGTAGAAAAGAAATGAGATTTTATTAGATGCATCTCGGGGTCATTATATGTTGTCAAAAATGTTCGTGGTAAGTTTGAGTTAATAAAATAAGTGCAAGTTGTAACCGGTAAATTAGTCGTTTAAATGCAAATTAAATGGTTCCACCTACCTCATTTGACTACCGGAGGGTATTAGGAACCATGGTAAAAATTTCGGCAATTTTTATTTTTCAGGCGAAAAAAGTTAAAAAAAATTAAAAATTGAAGGATAATATCCACGTTTGTTAAGAAATTTTTGAGGTTTCGGGGCCCGGTGACGAAAAGCTTTGAGATTTTAGGTGATTTATCTCAAGGTCATATAATACTGGTTTAAACCATAAATGATCATTATATGTTGTCATAAATGTTCGTGGTAGGCTTGAGTTAATGAAATCGGTGCAAGTTGTAAACCGATAAATTCACCATTTAAAGGCAAATTAGATGGTTCCACCCACCTATTTAGACTCCCGGAGGATATTAGGGACCATGGTAAACATTTCGACAATGTGTATTAACAGGCGAAAAAAAGTCAAAAAATTCCAAAATTTTTG